AAGTTCAAAACCGAGGTTAAATCGTTTACATCTGGAGTTTCCTTTCTCGCACCGAGTATAGAATTACTTGAATTCTCTACCGGAACATGTAATATCAGCACCTTATGTTGATATATTCAAAACGAGATTGGACCTCCATAGTGTTACAAAGTGCAAGGATAAATATAGGTCGATGGACCTACTATCCTCATCACTGGATACTGAATATTGTTTTAGTATTAACATAAAAGCGAGGGAAAGTGAGATTGGAGTCTTCATAGCCTGGATTCAATTGAAACCTTAAGTTTTACATTCACTATCATGGCTCCTACATTCACAATTGACCACAAAGCACATGTTTCCCATTTTGGTTAGGTGTTCACAATGTAATCTTTACAGCTAATGAGATTACTGTAGTTGACAACGGACAATAAAGCTAGCTCACTCTGATTATCAGATTAAAATGGATTTAAATCCACGAGGACAGTCTATAAAGAGGATTGAACATGTTTGTCTAAATTACACAGCTGGACTTGAATTGGTACCCAGACACTTGAAAATATTGTCAGGCGAATAAATTCTACAATATATCCACGGTAAAAAGTTCAAATCACTGCTGAATTTTCATACTGAAAGATGCCACAGGTATTCGGAGCTTGACAACGCTTTAACCAGTTACACCCTCTAATAAGAATCGTACCCAGCAAATGAAATGAAAAGACAGAAGCAGGGAGGTTCAAAGACATTTAATAGGCTATCAATATATCGTGGATCGGCTGACCTAATCTGGGTAGCGACTGCAGGGGATGTTGAGCACGGCGTTCCCACTCGTGATCTGGTGTGGATGCATGACCGAGCGCCTTCAGTTAGGTGAGTCCATTAAATCTAATGTGGTCAGCATCCAATGTCGAAAACTTACAGAGCTATTTATTTTGAGGATTTATTTATCGCTACAACATTATTGATAATCCACATCAACCACTTTGAAATAATAGCTTCTGCAGTTTAAACGGTCGTTGGTCAGGTGAAATTGAATATAACCTAGTATATCAATCAGGGATAAACTGTGACACATCCTTTTGAACGTACAACTGATGTTTTACTGCAGTCCAGTGTAAAATGTAGAACACATTTGAAAAGTATACAAACATTGCAGAGGACATAGAGACTGTAAACAGTTATCTTAGATTTGTCTGTGAACTAAAAATTACTTCATAAAAGCTTTCGAATGATTAAATGTTTGGAACTGTTAAGGGCGCTTATAAGTACACATCCTAAAATCTTGCCAATTCAGAACAATCCATTTCAAATCCATGTTATTATTTGACCAAAAAAGGTATTCATCTTCATGCGACGTGATATAAGACAGTGTAATCTACGTTGCAACATGTGGAAACAGAGAACTCTGAATAATCGACCGTCTGTTTCTTTACTGATGTATCCAGTATTCTTGCGGCTTTTATGACAAAATACGAAGATTGTGCTTATATACGGCTATGTGATTCCCAAATTTTGAAACTTTAAGGCAGGTGCATGTGGCTTTCGTTGTCGATGGTTACTGTTGAAGCATCGGAGTGTTCTTCTCAAGTAAATCTGACATATTTCCAATGAGTCACTCCGATAGCGTCAGTTCTATGTAGGTTAAAAGTGACCGTAGAGTGTGGCAGAAAAAATAGTGTAATATGATTGTCATTATTATTGATACAATAATCTTCCATAATCGTTGGCATTTATTTCTGTTGTGACGCGACATTTGCCGCCGTATCAAGTTGTACAGACTGTTGCTTTCGATAATGAATATATTGTATTCATAATTGTTATTTGCTCCTTGTCCCAGATCAAGTATGGTGATCACATAGTTTTTTAAACTTATATACTTGATTCACTCGCACAACAATGGGATTACTATTTGAATATAATAAGGGTAAACATGGCTAAAATGCTAATACAAAGCTTCAGCTCCTATCGGGATGGTGAGTCATTCACAGAAGACCTTTATGAATGAAGTGATATAACATCAGACACTTTACGTCTTAGTGGAGCTAGTACTGACCAACCGATTCCAAGAGATCACTCATCTCCTAGTGAATGTAAAGTCACATCTTGTAAAGAGGACTTGTACAGCCATAAAATGTACCTTATGCACTTAATGTAAAAACTGCTTAACTAGAGATAACAATCATTTGTTTCTCATTTATAAACACTCGAATTTTATTCCATTACTCTCCAAAACTGACGCTGATCTTTTCAGATTACCAAGCGACTGTAATAATCCATATCTATGAAGGATCATATGCTAGTTAAAATCAGAATTTTTTAAACTCCAATAGTGCTGTGCATTTGTTTCACGACGTCGAGCTTCTTTAGTCCGATATATCGGAATGAAAGAGCATGTGGATGATGGCTTATTAATAGTGGTACTCTCAAGGCAAATCTAAATACGAAGTAAACAAAATGAATGAACTTCCTTGGAAAACGTTTCTTCCGATGACGCAAGGAGGGACTTGTACAATTGCATTGTAAAATGCATTTGCAAAACATTGCTTAACTAAATATTTTGTAGACGTTAAATCACTACTTTTCAAAAGAAAAGGATGTTTCTACCAGACAAAAATCACAACTCTACGCCACTGATGGACCGACTGAAAGGTGCCCAACGAAGAATGGGGAACCGTCATGGCTGCCACGGCAATAAAACGTTGGACAGGACGGATTAATCCCCTTCACAGAAATCCGGAAATAAAGCAACGCGACCGAGAAAAACTAGTAAACGGATATTCGCAATAACATTTCCTTTATCCAAAAATCAAATATAGCGCACGCGAAGTGGAAATTAATAATCATAAACTTATGTTCAGATAGTTATAAGGGCTACCGCCTTTTGCAAGTATAAATGTAGGGATGTTCACTAGCACAAAACATGCAGAAAGATCGTACAGTATATTTCGGAGGTAGATTCAGATAAATACTTGTCAGAGTATATCTGACAATAATCGTAGATTGCAAAATGGGCAGTGACATTTCATCGATGTATTTTACTGAACCCCTTAGGCTTCTCAGAAATCAGTGACAGTCACCAGTTCCCAAATCCAAACTTAGGGCACTTAACGCGGCCAATATGTTGCTATTATCTTACATTGTTTGTGAAATAATGCAAAATCTCAAACTCTGAAACCGCCACAATTATATCGAAACTAAATCGTTGCACGTTAGGCATAGTTACCTCGATCAACTTCAGTATCCCTAGTTGTTATAACTGCTACGACTATGTATTCAACTACTTGTAACCTTAATATACGTGCAACACTTCCTGAAAATTGCTAATCAAAACAGTCGAGCGTAGTTACCATTTCCTTTGTTCCTTTCATTTTTCGTCTTTATCAGTTGATCTTTTTACCTACCGCTTTTCATTATCAAATATTCTGAAAGGCATTAATCCCCCCCTCAGTCCCTATGCCGTAATAACAGGATCTACTTGTTGATATCTTGTTCTACGGGAGGGTGCAGTGGGTAATCGTTAGGAGGAGAAACAATAACAATTTAGTAGCGGCTGCACCAAGAATTCGGAAAGTGTGACATTGAACAAAAATCTCTGTCGTTATATCCAAGTAAAGCCTACAAGAAAAGTCTTTCGATGAACAACCAGATTCTACCTGGTGGGTACGAGTATTATCGTAGCTAACCTGTGCCGCTTATGTAGGAGCAAAATGCGACGAAAGGTACACCTCCTTCACTTAGTCACACTACTCCACAATGTAGATAGACTTAATACTCCTGAAATCTGGTAGAATAATAGCTAAGTGGTTTTGGGCCATTAGGGTTTGGTATGGCAAGCTTCGCAAGGTGCAAAAATCCGAAAGTAAGCCAACTAAAAATGCTGAAAAACCCGCCAGTATGGTGGTTTATGGGGTATTATAGTTGATTTACGGCAATCAGTAGGAAGTTTGTGAAGATAACATACAGCAGTGGTCTTAGTTATCACGCCCTCCAGGGAGTTTATAAAACGTCGAAGACCATTGTATCCTAACGTCATTTGATGAGAGTGAACTTCTATAATCAAGGCGACCTAACTTAAATTCTTACGGAAATGAGAAACACTGTTTTAACGGGATGAATATTTGCATTGGAATACACTGATTGGCAACGTCCTAGCCAATCAACACTGGCGGGTGCTCAGAGAAGACTCTAGAATCTCGTGCAAAATCATAAATATACTAACGTGCTCCTTATTTTGATTCCTAATTCCATTCAACCTTTCCTATTTGGAATATAATTATGTTTCTGTTCAATAGTGTTTCGATTTGGGGACCTATCGAGTGAAATATTCCAAGAATGAGCGATAAGGTTAACTGGGTTGCAGTACGAGAACTCATAACACACTGGTAGACCGACCAATGAACATTTATTTGATAACAACTTCATACTTGGTTTATGAAGGTAAATATTTCTCCATTGAACTCACGTTTTTCAATACTACAGTTTCAGGGTTTTTGAATTTTGTTAGATGCCTCCTTAGTTATACTATGTTTGTGGAGACACTTTGGCACAGTGACCTAACGGGTTCCATGTAATAGATTGTCGACTTTCACGCTCTGAAATAACACTTTCAAACGAAAGCAAACAAAAGGGGTATCGCTAAGGATAGATAATCTTGCTAATCACTTGACATCCATTGTTTGAAAGAACTGATTGGCAGATTTTCAGTTTATTACTAATTTATATTACAATAAAAAGCGTGGCCGTTTAAAGGCCCATTTTCGTGAGCAAACGTAAGTTCCGTTACTAAGGAAACTCTGTACTTCATCAACTGGGCCGCCAGAGAGGGCTATCTGCTAATCCTAATAAAATAGTGTTGTTTTGTCATTTTTTGGTTCCGATATGATTTGTCTTTGTACATAAAGAAACAATACGGCAAATAAGGTCCGCTCTAATTACAACTCTGATACTCAACGAACTATATTTCTGACAATTATATAGTATGTCAATGAGTGACTTCCGTGTTCTCACAGTAATAAAACAAATTGAACCCAGTACTGATATAATTCATAAATAAATGTGTCATACATGTAATAAATGTAAAAACCGATACTTCATTAGTACTACGGTGTAACAGCTTTGGATAATTTGGTGGACTAATTATGCAATAATTAGATCAGTAATAAAGCATTATGAAAGAAATTAGTAAACCCTTATTAGGAAGGAATGTTAACAACTTGGATTATTTTATCACAAAAAATAACTTATATGGGAAATAAGCTTGGTATGAACATGAAGAAATTACTGATTAGATTTATCAACAAAAAATATGTACTATGAAAAGACTGGGAAAATCAGATCATACACAACTACTTTTCCTGGCTGGTAAAAGACAAAGATTATAATGAACGTTGGATTTCCAGAAACTTTGAAGTTTCCACCCACACCAACCTTTTTCGGTAATAAGCTTAATATTTCCAAAGGGGCCAGTATAATGAGGATCCAGAATTAAATAGCGATATGACGAAGATTCAGTACCGTTTAATGTTGACTCACATAATTGAACACCAATAATTGTATGAGCTAATTGGCCACCACCAACCATAACTGGTCCTCCACCGGAAGTGAAATGCTGTGCAAGAGCATGTGCTGCTAACTGGTTCATCTGATGTCCTTGTGGGATGTGCAAAAGCCGACACTGAATGTTGTATAATTCTTGCAAACAATAACTCACCTGAATACAAACACAGATACATGCAACTTTAAAATACAAGACAAAATCTCAAGAAGAATAGAATTACTCCTACATATATTTCGCAAAACGAGTGAAAGTAGCACCAGAAAATCCTTTTTATCACTGCAATTTACCATAATTCATACAAAAAATACCCAAAATCTGCTCACTAAATATACGAAGATGCATTAGCAACTCTTTGTGGTGTTACAAGTGTAGCAGTGAGTTCGAAAGTTGATACGAGGCTGAGTAGTTTAGACAAATTTCTCAGTCTCAGTCCTGAGAGGATATTGCCATAGCCATCTGCTGCAATTACGTTTAAAAATTCACTTATGGAGAAATTGTCCCATTTGGTGACCCAGTATATCGACTTAGCAATGGGCATAAATAAATGTAGTCCTAACCGTGAAACCATTGTCTATTGGTGGAGTCATTGTGACAATATATATAGTAAGTGACATGATTGCAAATCGGTTGCAGTGGTGCATTTGTATTTATTCCTGTTTTCAGATCTTATGTTTTAATATTATTTCGTTTAGTTTATTTAGTTCTATTCATCTTTTAAAAACCGTATCCGTTTATTTTTTGGTATTATATTCGAAAATACTATTTTTAGCTACGTATCTTGCTTTGCTGAAGTGATGTATCAACTAGAGTTGGTCCGCACTTTTTCCTGATTTTATGTTGCTTATGACATTGACTGATCATCATTTCACTTGCGAGGATCATGATGATAAAAGTTCAGGATATATGGAGAAATATATGGCTCATTAGATTAGGCACCAACAGATTGTTTACGAAGCTAATAACTGTAGTCACTTTTAATAAAGACGAGACTCCCTCGCTTTTTATTTTAACACATAGATATTGGTACAAGGAGGCACCAAATACATATGCGCCACACAGATTTCATTTGATATGTGTGAAGGCTGTTATATTTTCCGGGTACCCAAACCGAAACAGGGACTCCCTCGTTACCCTGTGGATAACCTCCATACAAATCCGTTGCATGGAAATATTAGTACAGAGGCATTGAGTCGATTAGTTTGGGACAAGATTCATACGTATCAAATGGTTCATTAGGAGCATCCAAAAAAAAACAAATTTCACTAAATACAAGAAATTGTATATTCATTTTCGAACCATGAATTGGCATCTAGTTGTTTTAGAGGATAAGGATTTGCACTACTTAATCAGTTTTAAAAATAGTAAATAGATGAATTCTAATCATATATAATAGACAAACGTTACATAAAAAGAACTCATTAAACAGCGATTTAAGTTCACTGAATTTGGAAAACTAATTATTCAAGTACGTTTCTAGAAATCGAATTGGCTTCTTCCGAACATGACTACTGTTTCACACGTATCAATAAGCAGAATTCTTAACTGCTTGAAAGTGTCTTGAATTTATGAAACTCGTTACGCGGTGCTTCTCTACTATGATTAGGCATATAATATGTTTTACAAATAGTAACATATAAGCGACAAATAAGGAAGGTACAAGAAAAACCGAAAAATATGAAATTAGAAATATTTATAATACAATATTGAGAGTAAAGGCTTTGTTATTACAAGAACACAAACGTAGTATGATACAAAACAGCCGAAATGTAACGCAGAAAATATAAGCTAAGGGTTTAATTACAAATAAAACGGACACCAAGAAGTTAACACATGTACATTGACGTCCCCAGCAAAATTTTAGGTTTTTATATAACAGTTTCTACTTTTACTAAAATTCTCCTGAGAGACTTTCTACTTAGTTTTGTTAATATTCATAAAGCATGAAATCTGAAAATTAATTTTAGGATCAATACCTGGTATTTAATTGATAAATAAATCTGAAAGAAAATGAACACATAATGGGATCTACATTTAGGCTTTTGCTAACTAACTACTTCATCAATGACATCTATCTGTTAATTAGATTGAGGCTTACGAAAATGTGTCAACACATTTCACATTTTTGTACTGAACTTAGGCTTACATAGGATTCTGCATTTACTTCATATACTTATAAACAGAGAAAAGGGAATCGGTGGATCAAATCTCTTTTAAACTGATAATAAATGACGAAACGTTCAAGAAGAAAGTTAATTATAAACCAAAGTAAAGTATTCGACTAATTTATGCCTATAACTTCACCATGACAATATACTCGAGGTATTTATTTGGATAACACAATATACAGTAAACCATTAGTATTTGTTTTATCGGTATCGATGTAAAAAGTGCTCCGATTAATTCCCTTTTATAAGATAAATGATCACATTTCAACAAAATATTTAGAGACAATAAAGTTATGGATATTATCCACTTATGTTTTCATTTAATCCAAACGCATAAAATAACCCAAAGACGCGGTGCTGTTAAAACAGTACTGGGGAGAATTAGAATATATAAAAAGAATATCAATAATACTTAATTTAAAAACCACACGAAAGAGTTATGCAACAAAATCCTATTCTATGAACAACAACCACTTTGGTTCCAATTAGTAAAAAAAGAGGTGTGTGACACTTTATAATGAACTTTAAACCACTCTATGAACAGTTTAACAGCTAGTTTGAAATTCAGCGCTTTAAATATTCATTCGCGTTAAAGCTATCTCTGTTGTCGTCATCAAGCATTGGGTGTTGTAAATCCTCCTTTCGATGATTAAAGTCGAGTTGGCTGAATGTTCAAAGCACTCGATTTTCAAAAATAGGTGACAGGTTTGATCCTAAACAAAACTAGTTCCGTTTGAGAACTTGTGCAGTATCAAGAGTCGTTATATAGACCCTAAGGCTCAAATCCGAGTACAATACCACACATAGTGAACGCGTTATGATATGCCCAAACCCAAACGCCTGCAGCTGAATCTGAGGAGCTAGACCTATTTTCAGAAGGCTTATTTAATAATTTGAGCCTATTGGAAATCAACCAAATAGTTAGTGCACGAAATTGACTAAGAAGTGACTTGCATTTCTAAAAGGTGGGACATACATCAAAGATGGCCTGACTTAGATGACTGTTTGATTGCTAATCTCAAAGACACTATACTTAGACGAAAGCCTGATAGCCTCTATCTGTACAAGAGATATTTAGATGACACTTTCATTATTTGTGACAAAAATACCTTTTTCAACGATATCTTGGATGCGTTCACTGTCATCAATCAACCAAGTTCACAAAGGAATCAGAGTAGGATTCAGAATTCCACCCCTGATATATTTTTGTTCAAGAGACCTGGCGGTCCTCTACAAACATCGGAATATAAAAAGCTAACATAGAATGATCAATACACGAGTTTTGAAAGTTGGGTCCCGCTGAATCAAAAGAGAAACCTAATTAATTTTCTATGTACGTGTGGTAGACGTAACTGTACCGAGGATACAATAGATACCAAATTTGATAAACTACGGCAGATACTGATCAACAACGATACACACCCAGATTCATTAAGAGAAACCCCATGCCAATACAACGTGTCTCGAGCACCGAAGAAGATTCTCTTCATGAACATTCAGTTTAAAGGAAATATTGCGATGGAAATTTTGATAAACAGGCCTTCGAGATCTCTAAGAAAAACATCCTTTTCAGTCGGCTTATGATTCGTAGTTGTGTGGAAAATAAACTTGCGCTTTGGACCAAATCAATGTGCATCTATCAGTTTACTTGCTCATGTGGAGCAGTATATATTGGCCACACAAATCGAGCTCTTTCAAAAAACATTTCCGAACAGTATCCTGCCTGGCTTACCAAAAGATCACAGAAGTCGGTAAAAAAATCAATCTTGGAGCATCTAGTCAACTGATATAAGTATTATTCAGGAACAGTTTGTCCATTTAGTTAATGTTAATTCGTCCTGTAAAGTATATAATAAAACTAGGTTCTTCAGAACAAGGTAAAGTTAGCCTTAATGACTTTGCTTACCATATTTTAACTCCCGTACAGATGTATTAAAGTATGATTACACCAACTACAAATAGAGCATTACGCTTTGCTGGATAATGGAGACAAATGTTCGTGAATGAGGTTTTGATAAAAATGCCATCATCTATTTGGAAAAAACCAATTTATCACAAAATTATAGAGAAACTTATGTCAGTCTCGGCTATATTTAATATTATTTTTTTAGAAGCTAAGGCATCATTTTATTAACATCGTAGTCGAGTATTAGCAATGCGTAGTCTTTTGAATCGAACCCCTTGTTAGATTCACTACTAACCCCAGAAAAATGTTAAACCAAACTAAATGTGCAAGCATATCATTCGGTGAGTTGGTTTTATTATTTGAGTTTTCCTGCATAATCTGAAACCTGGATGTACCTTAAATACCGGCTTGAAAATGCTTTAAAGAAAACCGTTTTATTCCCAGATTGAAATGTTTTGAATTTTTCACCAAGTCAATAACATTAACGGCAACAGAAAAATATACACTCAATTATTTAATAGGTTCTCTTCAACCGATTGAGACTTACATACAACAGTAAAAGTCATTTAGAGAAAAGCGTTCAAAAATTATATATGATTGACAGAAGTGTCTCGATAATAGTCGGGAATGACCAATAAACAACAAAAATATGAGCATCATTAAAATTGTATCCATGACTGAACCAACAACCGTTGATGCTACCTTGACGTGGTTGTCAGGCTTGCCTATCGTAGTGAACCAATCGGGCTATACTGGCTGGAACAATCGTTCCTCAAGGTCCCATCATGTCAGGCAGGTCGGTTGAAGAGCCGTAAGACTAAAAGCAACAAACTCAAGGTCTGCTGACTGTACAGACGTGTGACCGCAGTAAGGTGTTTCCCTCAGACAAGCAGCCTAACAGCGATGCTGTCTTCCCACAAGAAAGGATGGGATTAGAAAAGGTCGACCCTAAAAATGCACATCTTGCCTTATCCAACGGATTTCCGTCTCCGGCGGTAAGATCCAAACAAGTATGGAGCTAACACGAAAACTACTCACAAAAAGGTCGTGTGTGACCGACCTCAAGCAGTTGTCCCTTGGGC